GTTGGAAACCTTCTAGGGCATTCGACAGAACGTCTTCGATTGCGAAGTTGAAGAGGAATGGGGACATAGGGCAGCCCTGTCGCACACCGCTATTGACAGTGAATTGCGAGGAAAGCTTGCCATAGACCCTCACTCTGCCGGATGTGTGAAGGTAAAGTGCTCGTAAGATGGCGATATATTTCTCTGGCACCCCGTTCTTTAGTAAGCAACGCCATAAAGCAGGTCGATCAACGGAGTCAAAAGCGGCACGTATGTCTAGGAATGCAACGATAGTGGGCCTGTGATAAATGTGGCGATGTTCAAGGAGTTGGCGGAGCGTGAAGATTTGATCCACGCATCCGCGGCCAGGACGGAAACCAGCTTGTTCTTCACGGTAGTACGATTCACGTACTGGGGATAGTCTACGAAGTAGAATGGATGTCAACAGCTTAGAGGCAACCGAAATAAGACTAATCCCTCGATGATTTGCACATGAAGTGCGAGCGCCTTTCTTGAAAATTGGGACAATAACTGATTCTCCCCAAGAGGGAGGCACTCTCTCTTCATGCCAAATTTTTGCGAACAGCGCAGTTAGCTGGTTAATGACTGCCACACCGCCATACTTGAATAGCTCCGGAGGAAGTCCGTCTAAGCCGGCAGCCTTGAAGCGTTTCAAGCGTCGAATCTCGAGGCAGACTTCCGCTTCGCTGGGTGGATTCAATGGGACTAGCCAAGGTGGACCGCAAGGTGTACTGCATGTACTGATGGATGGTGGAGGCCAGTTGAACTGCGAGTGAAAGTGCTCGGCCCAGCGGTCCATACGCCTCTGTTGGTTGGTGATCGGAGACTCATCCACCTCACAAATGACCTCACTGACACCAGGCTTCCTGAGGCCAGTGGACCGAATGAGTTGGAAAAGCCTGCGAGTGTTACCAGAGAGGGCAGCAGTCTCCATCTCTAAAGCACGCTCAGACCACCATGTCTCGCGATCCTTGCGGAGGCTTTGCTTAAGCAGCCGGTTGGTAGAACGGCGCCGCTCGTTGCAATCTGATTCCGCGGAGATATCTTTGCGGCGTTCGAAGAGCTCCAGAGAACGAGCAGAGATCCAAGACTTCAAAGGGCGTCGAGTTAGACCGCAGACCGACAATAGCTGTGTTCCTCGATTTCAAGAGTGCGTTCGATTCAGTCGACCGATCGATTCTGTTCGAATTACTTGCGCGCGAAAATGTGTTCCCACGAAATATGTGAACATCCTTCGTGCTCTATACTCGAACAATACAGGCCGCGTCAGGGTCTAGGGTCGCCTAGCGGATAGCTTTCCGACTACAAGTGGCGTTCGGCAGGGTCGTCCGATTTCCCCGTTTTTGTTCAATTTCGTCGTGCATTCTATCATGGAGTGTTCCCTTGCGGAATCTCACGATGCAGGCGTTGAAGTGCTGCATGGTGAAAGGTTAGTTGACCTAGATTATGCGGACGATATCGTCTTGCTTTTCGACAATGTTGAGGCGGCCCAATCAACCCTGAATAGCCTGTCCAGAGTGGTCCCATTATTTGGTATGTACTTTGGACCTTCAAAGAGCAAAGTGTTGCTGCAGGACCACCAGCCACTTGATGACCCCTTGCCCAATGCTAACGAGGAACTCGAGGTGGTTGATCATTTCACTTACCTTGGCAACTGCATCAGCAATGATGGGCGCATAGAAACTGACGTGAGCTCACGCATTGCAAAGGCCAGAGCTGCCTTCTTGAACCTGCGTCATCCTTGGCGACAGAAGGGAGTTTCCCTCCGTCTGAAGGACCGTGTATACAAGGCCACAGTGAGGGCCGTTCTGCTGTATGGTAGTGAGACTTGGCCCCTTCGATCTGAAGAACTGAGGCGCCTTCAAGTCTTTGATCATCGTTGTTTGCGAAGCATTGCTTGTGTCGGACGGCACCAGCGTGTCCGCAACGATGATGTGCGCAGGCAAGTACTAGGTGGTGATAATCATGCTAGCACGCTAGAACAACAGGTAGCACTGAATAAGTTGCGTTGGCTCGGGCACGTGCTACGCATGCCTGGTCACCGCTTACCTAGGAGGGCCTTGTTCAGTCTACCAGGTGTAGGATGGCGCAAGGCTCGAGGTGGACAGAAGTTGACTTGGCAGCGGGAAATGAAGTCACTGACGACCAAACTGGGTGCCGTTGGTCCGTTTCGCCTTCCGGGTTGGAGTCCACGTGACTCACCTTGTGCTTGGCTCGAGACTTTACAGGACATGGCTCACAACCGACACCAGTGGCGCGTCTGCTGCCGTCTCCTAATCGGATTGCCTGTTTAAAGTGTGTTTCGTGCTGAGTTATCTGCGGGGTAATGGCTGATTATGACGCGTGTCAGTGAAAGCCGCAAGGAAGCTGTCTCGCCGATGCCGCCTTATCTTTGCACGATAGCCAGCTGTTTGTGACGGTATGTTGTCTACACAAGATGTAGGCGCCTTGGCCCTGAATGTTTGCTTAGGACATTAAGGTTTTCAGGTAAGTCCCCCTTCTCTCCCTCTTTTTATTCCTTATTTCATAGGTCCTCATGGTTGTATGGCAGCGAAGCATCAGTATAAATGGCTGATATACTGCTGTTGATGATGATGATGACGATAGAGAATGAAGGGTAATAATTTAAACTGCAGACCGGAGGCGTCAAGTCGATATTCAAGCTCTTTCACCGTCGGTGCCATTACAACTGCGGGCAGCGCGTTCCAATAAACTACGACTTTAGAGGATAATCGAAATGCTGCCCTAACCGGGTCAGAGCGGGGTTTGTGAAACTTCCATGGGTGGACACGAAGGGTTGGCATTCGAATTGGGTGGAACAGTCCAGTCAACTTAGGACCAATCTGGCCCATTAGTATGCGATATGTGAGTACCAAGTCGCCACGAAGTCGCTTGTAATGCATGAAAAAGATATCCAACTTACGTAGCCTCTCAGGGTACGTCAGCCTCTAACCCATGTACCATTTTCGTCCCAGACCGCAGGACCCGTTCAACTGCCATCCTGTCATGAACGAGGCATGGGGGACAAGACTGTACACCGTATTCCAAATGCGGCCTTACAAAATCCGAAAATAGTCCAAAGAACATTTCACTCGTCATGATCCCGAATGACGTGCGGAGCATTCATTACATACCGAATCCTTTGCGAATAGCTGCGGTCCTATGTTCAATGGGCTTAAAGTCGGGTGACAGCAAGACTCCTAGGTCAGCTTGGATTTGCACTACGTTACCACCAAGCAAATAACGTGTCGATGGGTCATTTGGTCCTAGGCGTAATACTGGACATTTCGCAAAATTCACGGGCAACTACCACAAAGGGCCCATCCCCAAAGTCTATCCAGAGCCCTCTGTAAAGTCCGTGGACCACTCGGATCGTTTACTGTGAACCAACCGCAAACAGTAGGGTTAGCACACCCAGCCCATCAGGTAAGTAGTGAACGTACAAACTGAAGAGAAGGGGACCAAGGACTGGACCATGCGGGACCTCACACGAAGAGTCACCTCCTTTACGATTAGGAAAGCTGAAATCCATCGCAAGACAAGTCCAGAAATACTGTAGGATTGCAACTAATACAGAAAGGGAGAATGCGGAACGGTGTCAAAAGCTCTGGAAAAGTCAATGAACATCACGTCCACTGCCTTCTCTAGCTCAAAGACTTTGGCCAAATGTTCGCGAGACAGGAATAACCCTAACGAAAGCCGTGTTGAAAGGGGTTGAGCAACCCAAAGGCTCTTAAATGTCTTTCGACAGCGTCCCTCAACAGTTTTTCCAACAGTTTGACAAGCACGCTGATTGGTTCAATGGTTGGTAGGGAGCAGAAGGAAGTTCCTTTGTCAGCTCCGTCACTTCCCGAACGTTGCGAGGATTGCTGGGATCATTGCGGAACAAGGTTCCGCAGAAGATCGCTATGGTTGTATTGTAGGCAGCAGAATTCCTGCGCACTCAGAGTGGGTATCCAACAGTTGTTTGAAACATTCCTCTGTCTCCGCATCGACGACAGTCTTTGGCAATCTGTTCCAGTCATTCACTACCCGGGTGGATAGGGCCAGATCGGACCGCACACGGAGTCGCCGCGGTTGGAAAAGCATCCAACGGTGGCTAGGAGCTGCACACTTTGTGGTTAGACGAAAGAACAATTGCAGCTCACTCCCCAGCTCACCTCGTAGAATACGCCGAGTGAATATCATATCTCCGCGGCGACGACGATAATCCAAAGGGAAAATGTTCAATGGTTGAAGCCGTAGGAAGTAAGATAAGTCCCGCAACTCTGGAACGGATTTGGATCACGCCATTGAACCTTCTCGATTATGTCACGTTCAGACTTTGTGAGAGGATACTGTTATAATCTTCTCACTAGAGCACTGGGCGCACATGCGGAGCAGACAATAGTTTGAAGAGTGCTGGGGTCAGGCATGGAAAGGCTGCGCATAGCGTGAAGTATTATGTAGGTGGATGCGACGCTGCCCGGTAGTCGCAAGCCTAGCAGGGTACTTTAAAGATGGTGACGTTTGTTGATTGGTCGGACGGGAGTGAAAGAATTGACCTCTGAGATTCTAATCTGGTGTAACCTTAAAACAGTGTTTTAGTGTGCTAAAAAGCTAACAACCGTTTGCGGCCGATTCGAATGCTTGGCAATACGGTTAACCAAATGCTGCAAATTTGGTAAATTAATTAGACAAAGAAATTTCCACACATGTCCAATATTGCACAGTGAGCGCATTGTAATGCTAAACGTCAAAATTAGGTCGCCTGTTTTCATGGATGCTGTATTTAACTAATTCGCAGTCTTGGAAGTCCGTTAAAACATTTGATTTCCGCAACGTATACCGTAAAAGCTTTCTTTTGTGTACCGGAAGACAAAGTCACTCCAGACCAGTTCTTCATGTCATACTGTTCGAGCTTTTCAGCTGAAATAACGTGGAAAACAGTATTTGAATAAACACTTTAAACGAAATTTAACTATTGTCAAATTTTCTCAGATCCCAGATATCTTGGGTCGATGGCGTCCAAATGCTTGGATTGTGGTAAAGCCGTTACCGCAAGATCGAAGGCTGTGCAATGCTCTCTCTGTGATGGGTGGCTACACATTGCCTGCTGCGACATCAGTCCAGATCTTTATGATTACCTCCAGAGGACCACCTCCTCAGCTATCAGTTTCCATTGTGACTCTTGTCGAACTGTATTGAGCGATAGACGGGTGCTGAACTTAGTCCACGCACTTAGCCCACGATCCATTCCTACTCAAACTGAGAACTGCACCTCTGCTAAACCGCCGGTATCTTCATCGCCTCGTTCGGCCTCTGACTCAGCCAGTTCCACTGGTAAACGAACTCGCGTCCCCTCGTCTTCGCTATCGGAGCCTCTGACACTTAGTGATGGCAGCCATGAGTCCAGGAGAAAGACATATGCGGCAGTAGTGAGTGAGAATGTAGAACAAGCATCGGCTAGTACATGCGCAACTCTGCGAGCGAAGAAAACCAAGAGTGATTCTACGACTAAACCCAAGAAATCTTCTGAACTAAAGTTGGTCCTCGATAGAGTAAGCCAGTTGGAAAACGTTCTCAAGAACAGCATGCCTCCCATGTCCCAACCCACTGAATACAATAAACCGCATTCTCGTGACCGTTGTTTGATTATCATGAATGCTCCTGAATCCAACAAGGGTTCCCCTGCTGAAAGGATCCTGGACGACCAAGAGTTTCTGCGGCGAATGGTCTCCCTCCTTTTTGATGAAGGTGAACAAGGGATCAATATTGTCTCTGCTTTTCGTCTCGGAAGAAAGCAAGACGATTCTTCTAAAGTTCGTCCCCTCAAGATTGTCTGTCAGAGTGAGGATGAGTGTCGCCGCATTCTCAGACGGACCCCACGTCTTAGGGGAGAAACCTTTTATGTTTTGCGGGACCTCTGTCCGGAGGATCGGATCCGAATGAAGAAAGCTGTCGAAGAACTACGAGCACGCCGGGAAAATGGTGAGATGAACCTCCACATTGTGGATTTTCGTGTAGTTCAAAAAGCTCCGAGAATTCGCTGGAGGCCAATCTTTGTCGCTCCCGGGCGGTAAGACCGAAGAATAGTTTGAGGGTGATATCTGCTAATGTACGTAGCCTACGAAACAAACTTGATGAAATTCAGAACTTTGCCTATGAAAATCACCCAGATCTTATGGCTTTCACAGAGACTTGGTTGTTTTCGGACATCCTCGACTCAGAGGTGCATATTCCAGGGTATAATCTAGCTCGAGCGGATCGCTCTCGAAATAGGTCCGGAGGTGGTGTGATTCTTTACTGGAAAGAAGACCTCAGGGGTCATCTGGTTGAGGCCATACGCGACAATGAAGATGGGTGTGAACTTCTTTGGTGTCGGATACATGATGGATGCAAGTCTCTTATGGTTGGAGTCGTTTACAGAGCCCCCTTGGCTTCCGGAGCTAGCTTGCTGGACTCTATTAGTATGCACGGTAGAGGCAAGGATTGTCTGATATTGGGAGACTTTAATACTGCTAGTATTGACTGGGATTTGCTCCATTGCAATCTTCCCCCGAACTCCTTTGATGCTGTCTTCCTCGAAACCGTGCTTGCATGCCATCTGTTTCAACATGTTACAATGCCCACCAGAATGTGTCCGGGTCAATCGCCACACATCCTCGACCTCGTGCTCACACCGACGCAGTCGGATGTTTCCGACTTGACTATCCTCCAACCATTTGGGAGAAGTGACCACTGCGTAGTTTCCCTTTGTTGGATGCGGCGTCTTACCATTCACGATCAGGGAGTATGCCGTCGGAACTTCTGGCGTGCTGATCCACTCCGTTTGAAAACTGCTGCCGGCGCTATGGACTGGAGTATCCCTCAGCACTTAGATGTTGATGACGCTTGGACCCTCTTGTACTCCAAGTTCACGTCCCTCATAACTCAGGTCGTTCCACTCTGCAAAGGGAAACGTTTTTCCAATGGCCCTCCCTGGATTGATCGAGAGTTAAAATCCCTTATGCGCCGTCGACGCAAATTGTGGGATAAGTTCAAGACTACGCAATCGCCTCTGGACTACCTTGATTACAAAGCGGTCAGGAATATCTGCACATTCAAAAAGCGAGAGAAGCGACAACAGTACGAGCGCCGCTTGGCTGAGGAATCTTCCACCGCTCCCAAATTACTGTTCTCCTATTTGCGGAGACGTACGAAAGCTGGTAATGGAATACCTGCGTTGTATTCCAAAGAAAATGATACTACTCTTCATGATGATGATGCAAAAGCCGGACTCTTGGCCCTGCAGTATTCCTCAGTCTTTTCGACTGAGCCACCGTTTACCTATGATTTAGCGTCTACGCCTTCATGTACTTTAGAACGCTTAGAAATCAGCCCCGAATTGGTTGCCAAGCTTCTTTTCGAGCTAAATCCGAACTCATCACCAGGTCCTGATGGGCTACACCCTTTGTTTCTCAGAACCCTAGCTGAGTACATTGCTGTACCTGTTTGCCAAATTTTTCAGCGGTCTCTTGACGCGGGGCGTCTCCCGCTTGCTTGGAAAATAGGCACCGTCAAGCCCATATATAAAGGTGGAAATCGTCAGGACCCCGGAAACTATCGACCAATTTGCTTAACATCTATAGTTTGTAAAGTCATGGAACGAATTCTCAAACGAGCCCTTCAGAGTCACCTTGACGGCTTGAATGTCACTTCCTCTGCGCAGCGTGGCTTCAGGCGAGCTCGCTCATGTGTTTCCAACCTGCTCGTTGCCAGAGAGAGGTGGGCCAGGTCATTAGATGCCGTAAATCGCTTAGACGTTGTCTTCGTCGACTTCAAGAAGGCATTTGATACAGTACCGCACGAACGGTTTCGTTTTAAACTTCGTAGTATTGGTGTTTCTGGAGAGATTCTCTCATGGATCACTGATTTTCTGGATGGCCGTAGCATGCGAGTGAAGGTGAATGAGGTCTACTCCGCTTCCGTTCCCATGACCAGTGGGGTTCCACAAGGCTCTGTCTTCGGCCCTGAGCTGTTTAAAGTCTACATTAATGACCTTCCATCTGTACGCCAGACCGATTGTCTGCTTTATGCCGATGACCTGAAGATATGGATTGAGGTACCAACACCTGAAGCTGCCGGCCGACTGCAAGAGAAGCTAGACCCGCTTCATATCTGGTCTTCGGAATGGCGTTTACCCATCAATCATGAGAAGTGCTCTGTCCTGCCGATCGGCTCTTCTGACCCATTTGGCGCCTATCACATTGGTGGTTTCTTGATCAGGAATGCTGCCTTGGAGAATGACCTTGGTATACTCGGATCTCCCGATCTGCGTACCACCGAGGACACCCTGAGGAAGATAGCGGCTGCGCCTGTCAGGAAATAAGGATGTTCTGTGCGCATTAGGAGACTCGTTCTCTTGCCGAATGAATCCAGAGATCTTCCAGACCTGTCTTTGGGGCGTTCTTACCAGTGTGCGCCCTAAGCCTCTGAGTACGGTTTGCCTGCGGGCCTACCCTTTTAACAAAGGCTGAACGTGTTTATGATTGAACAGATACGCAGCAGGCAAACCGTACTCGAGCACTGGGCGCACATGCGGAGCAAACAATAGTCTGAAGAGTGCTGGGGTCGGGCTTGGAAAGGCTGCGCATAGCGTGAAGTATTATGTAGGTGGATGCGACGCTGCCCGGTAGTCGCAAGCCTAGCAGGGTACTTTAAAGATGGTGACGTTTGTTGATTGGTCGGACGGGAGTGAAAGAATTGACCTCTGACATTCTAATCTGGTGTAACCTTAAATCAGTCTTTTAGTGTGCTAAAAAGCTAACAACCGTTTGCGGCCGATTCGAATGCTTGGCAATACGGTTAACCAAATGCTGTAAATTTGGTAAATTAATTAGACAAAGAAATTTCCACACATGTCCAATATTGCACAGTGAGCGCATCGCAATGCTAAACGTCAAAATTAGGTCGCCTGTTTTCATGGATGCGGTATTTAACTAATTCGCAGTCTTGGAAGTCCGTTAAAACATTTGACTTCCGCAACGTATCCTGTAAAAGCTTTCTTTTGTGACAAGCTTGTTGGCACGAGCGTCCGTTAATAGTTCGTGGTTTATCTTTTATGCGTCTTCCCGACGTCCTGTCTAGATGTTGTTAGACGCAAAACAGAACACAAACGAGATGTGCAGCAAAACGGTTTTGAAATGAATGCAAACTGGTGACCACTCAATCAGCTAGGCACGCTGTGTTGCAAAATAGCTAATATCCAACTGGCGTTACTATGCGTCTACGTATCGATGGGGAAACATCGAAGTGTGTAATGCATTCAGCTATATTTTCCCTAAATATGCGTAACACTTATGCAATATTGGTAACTAAAGTCGAAATTATTCGGTACAAGGTATAAAAGATAAGCGTACCGTTTCTGAGCCCATTTATTAAAAATTCCTGCCGTCCACTTTTAGTTTCGTCCTGGACTATTTAATTAGTCTCCTATTGTGCCAATATTTTTAGCCTCGGAATTTTAATATAAAACGGATTATTATTATAATGAAATAAGTAGCACTTGTGGTTTGTGCTTTTCCTAGCAGTGGATATATCATAGCAGACATAATTAAGTGGCTTCGTTAACAGCGAAGATTTCGTAAAATCATAGGAATCTTATGCAGCATTAGTGTACCTATGAATTATCATTTCATTCAAACATATATACAGTGAGCCCTCCCACTGAAGCGCGCTTTTGGCCACTCGCGGAGAAGCAAAAGGAGATGAAGATAAATGTCTTTATATGTCCATGGATATTGTTAACTATGTTCTAAATAATTATCGGCGCTGTTTAGTGTTAAATCCTTCTTTTTAACCCTAATTTCTGTCAGCGCAAGTGACTTTTAGCGCACCATGGGTGACGAAATATTCCTCACTGTGGTAGTACGTACTTACCAGTCTGTAATCGATTACCCCGTAACGTTCACGGAATATGCATCCCTTAAGCGCGAGCAGCGAAAGCGCGTACCGTCATGTGAGTGTTGTAACTCCCTAAATGACCAGACGTTTGGTCCTCAGCAGTGCAAATGTACACCTTATGGACGACCTTTTGGTCACCCAGTGTATCTTCCAACGCCCCTTGAACTTCAGCAACGAAAGTTTCATGGTAAGATTATCGTAAACATGAGGCGGAAAGCCACATATTAACTAGAATTACGCAATGCAGTAGCCGCAAACCCAAACCCTAAATTGAATTTGAATTACTAATTCTCGTCCAAACGAAACTTAATTAGGATGACTTTCAGCCAATAGTATGCATTATCTGACGCTACCACAGCATTATCGTGAGTGCGCTACTGTCGGAGCCTGTATACTACAAGCACAACCCTCGGCGTCAAGTGATAGTACAACGCACTTGGGTCCTTGTACATCGGCACAAAAGGTTCCGCTGATGGAGCCTATATACAACTAGCACGAGACTTCGAGCCGTACGCTATTACAACCCAACTGGGTCCTATTACGTTGACACCAAATGTGCCACTGATGGAGCCCATATACAACGACCACGAGACTTGGAACGGTGTGCTATTACAACCCACTTGTGTCCTATTACATCGGCAACAAATGTGCCACTGATGGAGCCCATATACAACGACCACGAGACTTGGAACGGTGTGCTATTACAACCCACTTGTGTCCTATTACACTGGCACCAAATGTGCCGCTGATGGAGCCCATATACAACGACCACGAGACTTGGAACGGTGTGCTATTACAACCCACTTGTGTCCTATTACATCGGCACCAAATGTGCCGCTGATGGAGCCTATATACAGCGACCACGAGACTTCGAGCCGTGTGCTATGACAACCCACCTGGGTCCTACTACACTGGCAGCAAACGTGCCGCTAGTCCAGTTCATTGTTTAAAATGCTGTAATCCCATATTAGCGCAGAAACCGATATAAAAACTGTGCATTGTTTTTAACAAAAGGCAGCGAGAGAACGTTTAGCGTTGTTCACTATATTCGCGCCATTGACGCGCATGTCCCATGCAGGGTATCATTACTCAAAGTCGTATTCTTCGGCTAAAATATAATAGTAGTGCGAACATATAGCCTACTGTCGGATAATTGAATGAGAGTTTTTATCTGAACAAGCTTTTTCCTTCTTTGTGTTTTCTTTACTGGGCTGGCATCCATGACGACGCTACAATGAAGTGAAAATGGGAGTTTAACTTTCACGAATAGCTTGTTTTGGCACTCTATTCTGCACAATACCTCTGTTTCAGGGGAACTCCATGGCTCCCTTTCGGCAACCTAACGATGAAAGGTAAGGAAATAGATCACAAGTACCAGGTGCACGTGCAATATGGGATACGGTTTGTTGACTTGTACTCGGATCGGCGGTAATCTCGTCCTGACTGTCTGCGCAGAAAATAGTTATAATAAGCTGTCGCTTACCTTCGTAAGTGCGGCAGGTTGATGGGGTAGAGGCAACTGTGAAATCCGGTGAGGGTGAACGGCCAACAACTAAATATAGAAGTAAAAAGTAGCTTTCTTACCGGTAGTACAGCATTGCAATGCCATCATGGGAAGAGATTCCGTTTGTGAAGCCTTGACACAAATTGTACAACGGGCTCCTGATTGCACACGCAAACACTTTCGATGGTAAATTAACCGACCACAACAGGCTTGTTGCACGTGAAACACAAATCTGCGGGCGTCATAATTTCCGACCAACGCGGTTGTTTCTTTGCATGTCGAAAGTCTGCTGAATCATCAATTACTTCGTTAGTCCTTCGCAGTAGCTCTTGATACAGCTCCGAAAATCCGGATGGATTAACCTCCTCAGCACTTCTCAGACGATGTACAGGATGTGCCATTTTAGACGTGGATGGTTTCGTAACGGGGACTTTCAATGTCCGCAACAGCATGGACTTTGTGGGTAGGTTGTAGTCCGCCAGCCAGCGGATGCAAATAGGTATTTGGCCTGTAAATGGATGCACATATCAGAAACGGCTTACTTGTCTGGTACGCTTGCTGCTTGTAGGCCGTCATCAAATGCACACACGGAAGCCACATGGTTTCATATAAAGGACAGGTACATGTTCCCAAGGAGCAATCGATGGTGAAGCGGTTCGCCTGGTGCGATATCTCAAACTATGGAAGCGTCAGAAATTTTTATTCACATACCAATCCATCTCTAAGGTCCGAGTAAACTGTTTGTAACAGGGGTTGTGCTAAATAACGCATAACTTAGTTGCGTGCGTACGTAGTTAAGAGGCAAACTACGCGATGAACATATGCGCTGCCTTCTAGTAGCTGACGCCTGTCACAGAAAAACGGGGCATGCATCTAGGACTCTTTCAGGAGAACTTCCGAATGCGCCCAGACTTTGCGAACGGCTGCAACAAGGCCATTCGATGCATGGGTATGTTTCTTCACCCGCAACTTCGCATTCTCAGCTCGGCTGTTCGTTGTATTGCCAAAATGCACCAGTCCAGCTTGGGCGTGTTTCGCCCACGAGCGTTTTACGTACAACCAGTACAATGTAAGGTAGCGCACCAACCGGGGGTCTGTTCTTTGAAGGAGCTTCAAATCTTGTTGAAATTTAAAACAAGAATATTACATATGGAAAGAGATTATACTCAGTCTCCGTGTCAGATATTGCCATGCGATGAAACAGACAACGTGACTGGTTAACGTTTGTCTACAGGATGTAACTAAGATTTATCACTTACATACTTCCTGATGGCCTGGCGGAGGTGGAAGTAGCACAACAAAATGTCGCATTAAAAACCCGCGCGCGCTGCACGTATTTGAGCGGCCATGTTGTCCATCATTATTGTGCGGACGGGAATATTATGACCCATGAAATCCCGAAACGCTTCGAACAGCGTAAGCAATGATGCGTAATCTTCCCGACGCAGAAACGCATAAAATATTGACCGGCCGTACCCCATGCAGTCAGTTATTGAAAACTGGTATAGTCTAAAGCTGCAAGCAACCAGTAAGGCCGCTATCAATTCTTACTTCAAACGATTGCGACGCGCAATCCATCCACACAACGTGTACTTCAAATTGCCTTTCCAATCTGCCATTAACCGTTGTGCCAAGCTTTGCCCGTCGTGACCCGGTGGCTTAGGGGTGGCGGTCACAACTAACATCCCAATGGTCCCGGGCTCGATGCCTGCTATCTCTATCTGATGAGAGGAAACAACCTCGAAACGCGTCATGGAGTGCAGTGGTTTCAGGCGGGCAACACCCAATTCGCTGCTGCTTCATCAGCTACGGTCCTAGTGATCGAATGGCCAAGATTCACTTCAATGGGAATCGCGGTCCACTTTGAGATTGCGCGTCGCAATCCATCCACACAACGTGTACTTCAAATTGCCTTTCCAATC